TGTTGTTGTTGTTGGAGGAACTTTTAATGGGGTTTTCTTGGCAAGATTTCTTCTTCGGGGGGAGTGTTGCCTTTGCCTCAGGGTTGCCATATCCTGGTTTTAGCCAGGACATTCTCTTTTTTTAGGGTTTGAGAATGTCCTGGCCTGGTTTTAAAGATGTCCCGCCGATATGACCCCCAACTGAGCTCTCCCCCATCTCTGCTGCTCTCTCTCAGCTGCTGAATGAAAAACATCCTCTTCCTCTAGGCCTGGCCAATGGATGGGGGAGCTGGAAGCCTACTCCCTGCAACCTCTCTCAAAGTGGCCCAGAGGAGGAGGAAATTTCCTATTCACAGCTGAGAGAACGGTGGAGAGGAGGGGGAGGCTGAAAGAGGTGGTATGGCCTGGTAGGTGGCCTGGTAGGCTTTGCTGGGCCTGGGGGTGTGTGCTTGGGGCCTCTTCAGCTGTTGCCCACACCTTTGGTGCAGCACCGGTGGTGGCCAGCATCGAGGTTTAAACCTCAGAAGGCCGGAGGCCTTACTGGGCCTGGGGGGGAATAGGGTCTCATTGGGTCAGGGTGGGTGGGTCAGGATCTGCTCCACCACTGCCACTGCCACCATCTTCTGCTATGCTCTTGGCACAGCAGCAGGTTGTCAGGCCATTTGTTTTACATTTTGTCCTACATTTCCCCCCCTGCATTTTGCCCCAGTTTTGAGGAAGAGAATTATGGCAACCCTACTTTGTCTTCTGAGGCTGAGAGTGTGTGACTTACCCAAGGTCACCCAGTTGGCTTCCATGGCTGAGCAGGGATTTGAGCTCTGGTCTTCAAAGTCATAGTCTGACACTCAAACCATTAAACTACAGAATACAAAAGTTTAAAATATTGGCTGCCACCCTACATTGCCATTTTGGAGACATAACATAGAGTTAAAGATCTGTAACTTCTCCATATTCATACAGGACCCTGATATCACAGTTATTTAGCACTCTCTAGTTATAGTTTTTGGGGAACACTTTCATGAGTGCTGGAAAGCACTTATCCTGAGATGTTGAAACTGTGCATATTAGTTCATTGATTCAGTGACATTGCCCTCACTTGTGCTCACCTACCTTTAATGACCTGATCAGATTCAATGGCAGCTGTTGGTCCCCCACGATATTCTTGCAAACAAGATTGTAAAATGTGGACTAATGGAACCAATTGGTTTCCAGAAAGCCTTAGAGCAGGGGTAGG